GGGGTCCACTCAGCCACGTGAGGATAATTGAGGAGTTATTTGAATAGAAAATAGCGGATCCGGTCCAGAAAACCGAAATTAAAGGGCCGTTGGCATCCGTTGTACTCACCGCGCAACACCCTCTATCCGCTAAATTTGGCACTAACTTCGCCGACAAGCGACGGCAGCCCGGTCGGTATAGTTCGCTTGCGGACTAAAGCCACTAAGTTTTTTGTTTAGTATAGGCAAAGCTATCACATTACAGGTATAGACTCTGAGGTCCTCATTCTTGCAAACATATTGTTTTCGGAGACTATTTATAATTAATTAAAATTATAATTTCATAAGCAATTAATATGAAGTAGGATAACTCAGTCAGTAAAGAAATGAGCTACTGGCAAGAAACCTCGTGTTCGATTCTGGGTAATTTAAGATTTTTTATTTACCCACAGCTTCCAGATTGACCTTGAGGCCCACACACCCTTCTATTCAAGGGGTACCGTGGGCGATTTCCCTGGGAATAAAGCGGCAGGTGCATGGAGCTAACCACTCACTTTCTTCGAGTGCCGACGTTAAGAATAGTGGAGCTATATCTCCACTCCCCCATACTTCTTCGTAGTGTGGTGTTTCATTAATTAAGCAGCGGGATAAACTTATCTTACTTATCATTAACTAATACTTATTATTCAATTCATGTAATTCACACCATCCCAGCAACATTTCGTACCGGATCATAGATTCTTCTTCAGTTTATAAAGCGAACGTTATGGCCAAGTGGTTAAAAAGTATGCTTCATGTTCTTGGTGATTTCCGTATCGATTTTGGACCTCATATTCACGTATCCTGACATACATTTCTATCGTTCTCAACTCTATCCGAAAAGCTTATCAAGATGTTTTGAAATCGACGATATTTATCCAGTTTTCTCACAAATATCTTTCTTGAGGTCAATTCACTCTTGAGTCTTTGCACCTTGTAGATGTGGCAGTGCTTGCTGATTTTTCGGAGGTATATATTGCTCCCTTCTTCAGAGTACAATTGAGAAATATGTTCATATATTTATAGGTTTTGATCCTAAAGAAATGGTACCACGTGCCCTTAAAATGGTAGTTTTTTAATATTTTCCTGCCCGATGTCCCTATGACACGAACTGGGAACCAGCCCCACGCTTTTCCTCGTGAGTCAGTTGGATCAAAATTTTTATATATACAAGAATACTCTCGCTATTTGCGCCGACCCTGAAGATAGAAACGTTATGTTGGTACTTTCGAAATAACGGAAATATCCCTATTCACCCGGTGCAAAGACCTGATTCCAGAATAATCATCAAAAATTAACCACCGTGAAAGTCTAAATTCAGCAGAGGAATATGTACGATATTAGTGGGAAAGTCAGAAGGAAGGAGACCACTGGGAAGACCAAGGCGTAGGTGGGTGGACAATATTAAAATGAATCTTAGAGAGATAGGATGGGATGATATAGATTGGATTGATCTGGCTCAGGATAGGGACCAGTGGGGGGCACTTGTGAACACAGTAATAATCCTTCGGGTTCCGTAAAATGCTGGGAAATTCTTGAGTAGCTGCAGAATTGGCGGCTCCTCCAGAAGGGCTTAGCTCCATGAGTTAGTAAGTAAGTAAGTAAGTAAGATTAAAAACAGTAAACTATTCCACTGCTCTTTAATTCAACACTCCTCCTCTTCCAGCATCTAAAATGATCTATAACTGGAAATCACTCAACTTTCTACCTATTTACTTTATGGGGTATAATTTCTAGAACGTTATAAGTACCACTCTCCTCCACACAGTTCCGAAGTTGAGAATGGGTGGAGCTTGACCTCCATTAATATAACATACCTACTCAAGGCACTGAGTTTAAACATTGTGAAAACTTTTTACCATTTTTCCACCATTCGAAGTTATGGAAGTCATGTACACGTCATTAAATATATGAAACATTTGCAACTTACCTTTACACATTCTGTTGAATTTCGAAAAGTAATTATGGCTTTATAAAAACTTTTCGACATGAACCTGAAGACGTGCGACGGTGTCCATCTGGGCATGCGCTAACGTTATTCGGCTGATATTTGTGGCCTGGTCTTTGAGGAAAGTATAAGCCACGATCTACTAAACGAAACTTCTTGGTAGAGTAGGCTGTTGCAACAAGGATCAGCAGACAAACCATGAGTAATAACTTCATGTTTCAAGCTCCTTCACCTAGACTGATCATTATGTTTGTGGCCATCGAGCAAGGGAAGAGGATATACGCCGAAAGGAAATGTTGCGTAAAGGCATACACGTCACGTGACCATAGGTTGCGGCAAATTATGGATTAGTGATAATGAAATTTGATTAGAGAAGTATTTCCCAAATATATTCAGCTGAAAACGGAGGTTTCGGGAAGCGAAAATAAGGTTTCCATAAGAAAACCNATCTTTCACCTAGACTGATCATTGTGTTTGTGGCCATCGAGCAAGGGAAGAGGATATAAGCCGAAAGGAAATGTTGCGTAAAGGCATACACGTCACGTGACCACAGGTTGCGGCAAATTATGGATTAGTGATAATGAAATTTGATTACAGAAGTATTTCCCAAATATATTCAGCTGAAAACGGAGGTTTCGGGAAGCGAAAATAAGGTTTCCATAAGAAAACCACCATGTCGTCCAGGCAGGATCTGGGGCCCACTCAGCCTCCTATCCAATGAGCACCAGGGACACTTCCTGTGGGGTAAAGCGGTCAAAACGTGAAGCTGACCACTCACCTCCAACTAGTATGGAGATCAAGACAACTTGGATCTATATATACAACCCCCATAAGTCGTCAGTGGAATAGTGCTTAATTGGTTAATCACAGGGACAACTTAACCTTTTATGCTCACTCATTCATGAAGCTGAGCCCTTCTTGAGAAGCTGCCAATTGTATAACTACTCAAGAAATCCCCAGTATTTTGTGGAACCCGAAGGTTCATTACCGTGTTCACAAGAGCCCTCCACTGGTCCCTATCCTGAGCCAGATCAATCCAATCCATACCATCCCATTCTATCTCTCCAAGATCCATTATAATAGTGTCCATCCACATACGTCTTGGTTTTTCCAGTGGTCACTTTCCTTTTTCTTTCCCACCAATATCCTCTATGCATCCCTCTTCCCCCCCCACTGTTTACATTTTAGGGCAAGCACTTCACATATCATACTCACGATCCGATCATGACGGATCAAATATTTAAGAAAATACGAAAGAATTATTTAAAAGAATCGCTTCTAAATAAGCATTTCTCATTAAAATTATAACATTCTACATCTCAGAGACTCAGTCTGGCGAGCCAATCGGCTGGTAAAATTACACTGTACTTGCTGTCTGTAACCGCTGTGTACAGTGCTCTATCGGCACACTATGTTACCAGAAACAAACAAAACACTCCGTGGTCTGTTGTCCGCAAGCGAACTATACCGAAGGAGCGACCGCCGCTTGTCGGCGAAGTTAGTGCCAAATTTTATGGCTAGTGGGTGTCACGTGGTCATCGTAACAGATCGCCACGGCCGTTAATCTCGGTTTTCTAGACCGAACTTGCTATTTCCATTAAATAAGTCCTCAGTTATCCACTATGCTACCTTAATCTCATATAAATATATATAGTACGGAGAGGTATTTGAGGTCACAGCGAAATAAAGACATAAAACAAATATTACTACCAGAGAACTGTATACATCGCATGACCACATTTTGCTAGTGAGTTGAGAAATTTGAATTGTATCTAATATCAGTTTAAAAAATATCAACTTTCTGAAGACCCTATCTAAATATTCATATTGAAATAGCCCTTCCTGTTTTTCAGGTTTCTTCAGCTTGTAGACCTGTTATTGTTTCAATAAAATTATACCGGAAATTATAATGAAGGGAACTGTCTTTAGAAGACAAGAAATGAATATCAGAAGTTCAGCAACATGCTTGAATTTTAGTCGATGTTTCCTGTAAGGTTAGTAAATACTAGCAGCCATAATGGAAACCATTTACAAAGCTTCATTGCTTGAAGTTTTTAGTATCTAATTTTTTATTAAAGTAGTTTATATTATACACGAATGATTTCTATATCCAAATTTTGTTTTGCTACACCTGGAATAATTAATAGCCTATAAATGCGCGCATTACAGATACAGTCGTGAGCCCCTGTCATGGGTGCCGCCAGAGTTTCCTCCAAGAGGGTCTGGCAAGAAGGGAGATAAGTAGAGGTATATGTTTCAAAATCAATTTCCAATTAATTTGTATTAATAGTTGGTACTACTTTTTTTTCGCAATTTTGATTTTTTCAAAATTCCATGTGGGCAGATGCTTAGCTTACCCCCCTTCACCGGCGTCCATTGCTAACCATCTTTAATATTTATGTAGAATATAAATAATTTCCAATCACAGATCGAGTAGTTACAATATTTAACACATCGACATGGCCTACAATTAATACAATATCTTAGAAGTTTCAGCTCTGTAGTGTCTGGTATATTCTTCACAGTGTTGATCAATATTCATTTAACTTATGAGTACATTTTTATGGATGCAGACAGGAATTCCATTTAACATATTATAAGAAATTGTATAATGATTTTTAAGTAAATAGACAAGAAAATATGATAAATCGAAGTCCCTGTATCATCCCCCGATGTCCTCCCTATTCCTGTGAGCCTGAAACAAAAGAATCACGCGGTATTATTTTACACTTCTCATTTAAAAACATACAAACAAGGCACAAAGAAATTGCTGCCACTTCTTGTCACGTGAGAAGTGGAAATTTCGCGTAGAGACATAAATTCAAGCAGTATTTCTATAAAACAACTTTATATTTTTTTGTTTAAAAAATAAAAATAGGCATATGAGATCACCATGCTGCCTGTGTGTGTTCTCCCCTCTCAACTTTTGAATGCCTGAAGCAGTCTGTAAGAAACTTGACGTTTATACCATGGCATATGAACCCATAGCAATGGCGTACTACATAAAACCCTCTTATCAGTCTGTGTGTCTATGTGTACCATCCTATCGTTGCTACGCAACGGCTTAATTAACACGTCCCACGGCAACGCATACACGCCACAATAGAGGAATTGTTAGAACCATCGTTTCCGATACGGTCCGTGTCGTACGAAGGAAGAGTCAGTGGATCTGTCATTAGTATATTGACTCGTTCTTCTGTTTCGATTATTTCAGAAATCCATTGAAGCTGATGACTGATTTATCCGCCCCTGTCGGTGCCCACGCCCCCCCCCCCCCCCTTCTCTTCAACCCTCCGCCCACCTAGTGCGAACACACGCCGNGTCCGATAACTCCGTTTCTTATTTCACAATGGATCCTTCTGAGAAAAAAAACTGTAACGTAATTAAGCGCTTACGTATTGTAACATATTTTAAGTGTTTCAATGTTAAGAGAGTTTTTTATTGTTATTTATATGAAACAAATTTCAGAATTTTGAAAATCCTTTACTGTGACATTTGACAGAATGTGAAGTTCTTACTGATGGATCAAGTTTCTTAAATAATTCTTAGTGCAAGAAAATATGAATATCATAACTTCCATTATTCCACTCAACCTTGTGAGGATATTGAGGAGCACTTTCAAGGAAATATCGGCTCCGACCTAGAAAACCGAGATTAACGGCCATGGGGATCCTTTGCCCTGATCACGTAACACCCTCTATCTGCAAAATTTGCCACTAACTTCGCCGAAAAGCGGCGATCGCTTCGTCGATAAAGTTCTCTTGCGGACTAAAGGCCACGGAGTTTTTCTTCACATTATTCAGACCGTATGTAATGTGAACATCCTGTACATTTCCTTCCGAATAATGGTACAGAATCCAAAGTATCTAATCGCGTTACCTTCCTTCATATGACTGCACTTCCCATGTGAATCACAACAAGGTTTTCCATTATTCAGACAGCATATAAACAGAACATCCTGTATTACTACTACTGAAGAATAGCACAGAATTCAAGGTACCTACTCCTGTTAACTTCGAATAGATGTCTGCATCTCCCGTTCGATTCCCGTTTGAAACCTTCACTACAAGGTTTCTCATTGTTGATTTCCGGCGCAGAAATAACAAATGTAGACGCTTCCATTGGCCCCTTTAGCAACAGAAATGTGGCCATCGTGGCCGCAAACACTCGACACCACAGCATCTACTTCACTAACGCAATGCAACTTACAGCAAGAGGCCTTCCTGTCAGGAGAACCGTGAGGCCCACCGAATACGGTAGCTCGGGAATTGTCTGGTAAACAGATACCAGCTGCTAGAATGAGTAGTCGTAACTTCGCTTAATCAGTTTAAAGCTGTACATTAACATAAAATATTAACTAAATAACTGCGTTGTGCTTTGTCTTCTTCAAAACAATAAGATAATAAAACAATTACTTTCGTTTATTACAGTTACGTTTTCGTGTTTGTAACTTTCAGTCGAACCGCGCTGTAATGATCCCTGAAGAATCCCCTCTTCTGGGAAGTGGGCGCCGTGTAGATATTGTGTTAACCGACGTTTCAGAAGAAAGGGAATACAAATCAGCGAGCGAGGAACCAGCGTGAGCAGGTAGCTGCAGACTCAGTCTGAAGATGGAGGCGGCTCGTTGTTTTTATACCCTGAAGATGGGGGCGATATTTTCTTCCGAAATATCGGTTTACACAATATCTACACGGTGCCACATCCCAGAAGACGGCATTCTTCATAGTCACCTCCGTGAAAACTTCAAATCTTACATAATGATCCACGGCCCCATCTGTTTGCCACGTAGCAAGCCCCACCTCCAGCGGTAGAATGTAGCATTTTCGTCAGATAGTCAGATATTAATTTCGGCTCCAGACGTTAAAGATTGTAAGCTCAACTTTGGAATTTTAAGAGAACATACCATCCCTGCAGTTGTAACAGTGTCTTTAAGGGCCGCACCATAGCTCAAGCGGTTAGTCGCTGGCTTCCCATAGCGGCTGCCCGGGTTCTATCCTGGGTCTGGTCAAGTGGGATTTGTGGTGGAAAAAGTGGCGCTGGGGCAGGTTACCTCCGAGTACTTCGGTTTCCCTTGTCAATCTTCATTCCACCAATTGTTCCAAAATCACGCTCACCTATCATCTGGGGCTGGTACAATAGGGCAGAAGTGGGCGCAGTACACGGGACTTAGTCCCACCCCACTAGCAATAAAAAAAGGAAAAACGTTAACAGTTCACACAATTAAAACCGATGGCTGAGAAAACATCTGGCCAACTGAGGGTCACTAAGTCCCGACTGTACTCTAAACCCATTTGAGGAGGCATGTGTATGGTACATTAACAGTCGGTGTTGTGTTCTAACGTGCATGAATGACTATAAAATGGGTTTATATGGGTACCTGGATTTATTGAACATTTACTGACGGTAATTACAAATAACTATAGTGCTATCATCAATTCACACACTTTGCAGCTCACTACAACACGCGCTAAGTCTTCTCAATCTTCTATGTCTCCATTAGTCGTTGTCTTGCAACGGCTTCGAATATCATAGATCCCTCAACTTCCTAGTTCACATTCTTAGTGGCCGGCGACTGTCTCACAAATAACTAAACTCTAGAAATTTTCTGCTTATAAAACATCATCAAAGGCCGCATAGAAAATGTCTCTTCCAACAAATCTGTTGTGTCACGCAACGCTCATATTGGCCGCTTACAGAATACCTCTGCCCAGTTAGTCCATTGGTACGTGGTATGAATCTGTTGCCTAGCAACGGACGTTGTTTACAGAGTCATTACCTAGCAACGGGTCTACATGTTACAACATTATCTTTATATGTTGAGGTTTAACGCTTGCCGTCCTGTCTTCGTGTGTTAGAAATGAGTCGGAAATTATGTGATTTACACAATGTACAGATATATCCTAAGAGGACATCAGATGTAACATTCGTACCAAATTTTTTCTCATATATATTAAATCCTATAATAAGAACATGTAGTATATATTGTTGATATAACATCTTTCTGACACGTACCTGCTAAACGTCTTCTAGTTCTCTATTGTTGTATATCCGTTACTCGTCTCTGCTATTTATCTGATAAACTTTCCTGCAGATTCCCTTATAATACCTTCCTCCATCTTGACATCGAGGTCTAAGAGGAGCGTCCATAATGTTACGAGGAGCGGAGGTAGTGGTGGCCATTTCAATTGTCACACGAAAACTAGCACTGGCCTCTTTGGTTATCACCAAGGCAATAAAAATAAATGAACCAAACACTCGGAACAACATAATCGCTCAGAATGGCTTGAATATGAAAATAAATTTAACGCAGATGGTCCTTCTTAACGGTTCTTTACAATAGATCAATTTATATATTCAAATATGTGCTGTAATCAGGGTAGTGTTGTGTATTATATACTTGTGGTTTGTCCCAAACTCTTGATTTATTTTTAAGTTTTGTCTCCGTGTTGGTAATTATCTGAAAACGGAAGGAAAATGACGAGTCAGCGGTAAGACGCCTTCCTTTTTCCTGTCTTTACTCGTAACAGTTTTAAATTCTAGCTGTTCTTTGTCAATCTTCAAATGTCAAGTCCTGCCACAGGAATAAGTACTATTCGTAGGAGTGTCAAAGCTCTGTGGGAGTAAGTGTGGTTTCATAGGAAACCGTATAACACTTCCCGCAAATTTTCTTCAAACGACAGATTTATTTCATGTGAAACCTGTGACTTCATGTCAGTGTTAAACAGTGCTCTGAAACAGTTCCTGAGCGCCTGCTGATACGTTTCTGCCTAATTTTTCTTATGTATGCTACTTCTCTTGATATATGTTCTTGGCTGAATAACCAGCTAAATAACATCACACATGTGAGTCCTTGAGAAGTCACCAGTCGCTTAGCTACTCAAGAATTTTTCAAATATTTTATAGAACTCGCAAGTTCATTACAGCGCTCACAAAAGCCATCCATTGTTCCTTACCCTGAGCCAGTTCAATGAATTTAGTACTACGTCATCGCATCTCTCTATGCTCTATGTTAATGTTATCATCGCGCCTATGTGTAGGTCTTCCTATTGGTCTCTTTCTCTCTGGCTTTCCCACCAATCCCTTATATGCATTTATCTTCTCCCCCTTTAAAGCAACGTATCCTGCCTACCTCATCCTCCTTGACTTGATCATTCTAATTAAACTTGGAGAAGAGTACAAGTTATGAAGCTCCTCATTATGCAGTTTCCTCCAACCTCCTGTCACTTGATCTCTCTTCATTCCAAATATTCTCCTCACCACTATTCTCTCAAACACCCTCAGTCTATGCTGTTCCCTTAATGTTAGAGACCAAATTTTACAAGCATACAAAACAAAAGGCAAAACTATAAATTTTATATTGTAATATTTAAGTTTATAGACCGCAAAAGAGAAGAGATTCTCAGCTGAGCTCCTGATATCGTCATGAATACAATTAATTTGTTCTCAGAACACCCTACTCAATGGTGGCCAACTCCTCTCATTTCGATTTTCAGCTGATATGAAAAGAAGTTTTAGAATCCTTAAACCTGTATTAATTTAACAAAATATTTTAGGAATTTAAAAATAGGCCACAAATTACCATTAATTTTGTGACAAATGTATTTTTTATTATATGTTTTGTAATTTAATATGGCCTCCTCTTATACATTTAAATGTATAATAAATAGATCTTCACCTCTTTCAGCGACCCCCAAA